TCATCTTTATTTCATTGAGTTATTGTTCATACGATCTTAAGATGGATGTGCATGTCTATATTATATGGACACATAATAGAGAACTACTGGAGTTTAATTAGTACTTCTGGTTGATGCTTTAAACGGAAAAATTAATATTCTCGATCCTAAAGATCGAGAAACTGGAAATATTCATCTTTGAGAAAGATAGAGATGACGCCAGAAAAATTACTAAAAAGCCTTAAAAGTACGCTTTGTAGCAAAATAATATCAAATCCATTACATTATTATAAGTAGTTATTGGGATGTATTCGCACTCTTCCAAACAATATAGAAACAACCAAACCAGCTAAAAAGAGTAAAAGAAGGAAAAAAGTTATCTATGAACAATAATACATGTGGGGTTGGCTTAAGAAAGGCCAGGATATTGTTTTTCACTTTTGACGCTGCCGTTTTGATAGGTTATACTTATACATGTACTGGATGTAGTTCTGAAAATGTAAGTAAATGAGACGAAAACATTCTGGGACTGTACGAGTAGATAAATTGAGGAATTTTTTTATCTTACGTAATAATTTCACCATCCAACAAAAGTAATCTCTTTTATATAAAGATCAATGCTTTCGAAGTCTTTCTTGCTGCCCTGGATATTTGTTTTCAAAGAACCAATTTTGGTTGGAAAAATGTTCTCAACAAAATATCTGGCAATAAGAATATGGTCTACTCACTTAGTGCAGTACATCTTTTCATGCACCAGAGTAGTTCAGGTTTCTAATAATATTTTAAGAATAGGATGGCAAGAGGACTTAAATATTTACATATTATTTCCTCTATCTATGAGCACTGGCTTCTCTTCTCCCATTCAGAGGATTGTTCCTGCACGACTCTATCATGGTAAAACTACGATGTTTTTATTTAGATTAGTTTTACGGTTTTATAATTTTCTATACATTTGCTTCTTCTTTTTTCTTCCTATGTCTCACATTATAGATTTTCTTTAATTTTTTATTTTACTTCTTATCTCTTCTATATCAACAAAATTAACCAATAAGTAATGATCTCCTTCCATCCCAATTTATGTGGGAGAATTTGTATTTCGGAAGTCAAATGAGTTTTTCTTTGATCGCGAATTTTTTGTATGTCTTTAGATATTGTGAATTGTTAGTTATTGTGGTTCATACTATTTTTTACGTAGCTTCTAAATATTTAAATTTTGTTTCGAAAATTGTAAAGATTCAATATCCGAATTCACTATCAAAATTAATAAATTTAACTCTCGAAATTCGAGTGAGTTTCGCCACACAAATTGGGACAAAGTGAGTATTTTTTTTCTCTGTCTCACATTATAGATGTCCTCTAATAATTAACTTATTAGATTAACTTTTACAGGTATCTGCATATTCTTTTATTTTGTCGAGATTTACAAATAAGATTAAATATAATCCAAATGTACGAATTCATTAATTTCTTTAACGATCGTGCGATGCGCGGATAAATTTACTAGTATATATATAAAGCTGGGAATTGGCCAGCTGATGATGTTGCATGTTTCCCAAGCCAACATTCTTAATTATCCTTTTTCTGAGATTTTCACAATTTTCTCCTCTTTTTCCCCTTCTTCCATGTAATTTTTTAGTATTTAGATCCTTGGTAGAAAATTTAAGATATAGAATTAATTCTCACCTTTTAGAGTAAATGCTGTTTTTCTAATCCTGTCAGTTATACCGTAAAATACCCTCCAAAAAAATTCCAGATACTACTTCCTCCGGTCCAAAATAAGTGATTTTTTGGCCTTTTTCTTGTGGTCCATAATAAGTGATTTTTCTACATTTCAAGAATGAATTAATTATTTTTTTCCTACATTGTCCTTGGAGTAAATAGTGTTGGAATATGTGTTAGGAGTGTTTATGTGAGATAGTAAAGGTTAATATGGTCAATTCCATTGCTAATTAATGTTAAAAGGTAGATTTCTTAATCTGTGTGAGAATATCCAAAAAATCACTTATTTTGAACCGAAGGGAATACTTCATGCGCCACTTACAGAATTTGAACGAACTCTTCAGTCTTAAATTTATATAAACAAATAGACCATCTGCATTCACAACCCAATTCCTCTCTTCCTTCACTCTTCAATTATTCCAATACCGGTCGCATAGAAACAACAAAAGGTGACAGACTTCTTGGGGTGAAACAAGTTTTCATGGATATCTTGGGGTGAAACAAGAAGAAGAAAGGAAGTAGGGGTCAGATTCTTAGTAAAAGTTTTAGTCTGAAACTATAGTATTTTTGCTACTTGACTCTTGTGTGAATACAGTTTTCTTTTATTTGTCCTCTTCCTGTTATGAAACAATAAAAGAAGAAGAAGAGTATTACGGAGAAAAGTAGAGAGAAAATTCTTATTGATTTTGGGATGAATTACAATGGTATAGAATCCTCTATTTATAGGGAGAGGTTGACTTAGCCACCAAGCAATGAACCCTAAAATCTATCTAAATATAGACATTCACCATTAATACAGTTCTATTTATAACACTCCCCCATGAATGTCTATTCAACAGATAATGTGTCTCGTTAAAACCTTAACTAAAATAAAACCCAGTGGGAAAAAAATTCTAGAGAAGGAAAAAGAGTACACATATCTAACGATACGCATTTTGGTTGCCTCGTTAAAAACCTTGCAAGGAAAACCCAGTGGGACAAAACCTTGTAAGGGGAAAAGAGTACAAAGCATATTAACTCCCCCTGATGAGAGCATCAATTCACATCCTTGAGCCTTGACATTCCAATCTTGTGCACCATCTTCAAAAGATCTTTGGTAGAGATTTGATGAACAAATCAGCCATATTAACTTGAATGAATATATTGCGCCTTGAAATCATCATTCTTGATAGAGATGTAACGTCTTCATATAATGTCGTGGAATGACTTTTCAATATGTCCATAGAGGTATTCTCGCTATCACATTATTATGCTTATAGTTATAGCAAGATACATATGTGACACAAAACTGCATTTAGGAATATGGACTTTCAAGGACCAAAGAAACTTGTNCAGTAAAATGGATATTAAGATATTTGAAAGGTACTGCAGATTTGAAGTTGTGCTTTGGCAATGGCAAGCCTGAACTTGTTTGTTACACAGACTCTGATTTTGGAGGCAATCTTGATAATTCAAGATCGACTTCCGGTTATTTGATCACTTTTGCAGGGGGAGCTGTTTCTTGGCAATCTAGACTACAGAACTGCATAGCTCTATCCACCACAGAAGCCGAATATATTGCTATCACAGAAGGTTCCAAAGAACTATTATGGATGAAGGAGTTTATTAATGATCTTGGCTTTGAGCAGCCAAGGTACATCTTATTTTGTGATAATCAGAGTGCTATCTGTCTCACCAAGCACTCCACTTTTCATTCTAAGACCAAACATATAAATAGAAAGTATCATTGGATAAGAATGGTCGCGGAAGAGAAATTATTTGAGGTTGAGAAGATACACACTGACAAAAAGCCTTCGGATATGCTGACAAAGGCGGTGGCTGCTAATAAACATGAATTTTGCAGAAAATTGGCAGGCATGAAGCCTGTCAATAGTTCCTCTACTTGAAGACACATTTGGCCCCTTGGCTGGAGGGGGAGTTTGTTGGGCTCATGCCCATGTTGTCCAGCCAAAGGCCCAATGGCCTAATCCTATTCTCTTCTGGTTTCCATTCCTATTTGGAATTGGATTCGGTTTATTCCTATTTTGAGTGGGTTTTGGCTTTAAGAGAAAGCACCACTCATGATCTATAAATAGGACAACCTTGGAGAATTATTCTATGCTCATTGATACAAGTCTTTGAAAGACTTAAGCACATAAGAGTGGGTTTTGAGAGAGCTTTCATCAAGAGAGAAGAGAAAAAAAAAAGTATTTGTTTTGCTACAGATTTTTATTCCGACCAGCCAACTTCAAATCACGTTTTCCGATTCGTTAACCGTTGGATCGGGCTAAAATTTTGACTGAGTGTTCGTAACATCTTGGTCTTGGATTTGAACGGTGAAGATCGGATTTGGAGGCTTGTAGCATCTGATTTTGAGCCTCGAACAGCAGCTTCATTTTGTGGATTATACTCTTTCTTCAATTGATTAGTTGTTGCTATTGTTGCTCCGTGTTTGGCCCTTGTTGTGTAGTCAATTTGGAGAACTTTTGTAACCCTCTTATTGTTATAATGGAGCTTTTTGGATCTTTGTGATCCCGTGGTTTTTACCTTCGATTTGAAGGATTTTCCACGTTAAAATTTGGTGTTTTTTATCTTCTTTATTTTCGGGTTTGCCTCTTCCTCAACATAATTCATAAAAGATTTATATATGGACTCACTTTATTCTCCTATGTACAACTTTTTTTATATTATATTATAAAGATTCAAAATATAATTACACGTGACCATATATGTCACATGTAATTATCGGATGTAAATAGTTTCGCCTGCAAACTAAAAGCGATCTTTTCCCAAATAATACTGAATCTTTTGAAAATGGACTCAGAAAGACTTAAAAAATTTTGTATTATAAATATTCCAAAAATAATTACATGTGACCCTACACATCTCTTCAACAGATAATTCATTTAAATTTTCCCCTAAACCCATTTTGATAATTCATTGAAATGGAAGTACCAATTTCAGACAAGTTATTGAAAGAGGCCCCAAAGTTAGGTTCTTTCAAAATGGGTGATTCTACATTCTATTCCCTTGTTGAGAAATATGCTAGTTCTGGGGACTTGAGATCTTTGGAGATGGTTTTTGATAGAAAAAGGAGTCTTTATCCAGAAGAGTTTTATCTTGGTGTTTAGAGAGCTTATGGAAAAGCTCGAAAAAGCTGTCGAATTATTTGATAGAATGGTGGATGAGTTTCAATGTAAACGAACCGTGAAGTCGTTTAATTCTCTTCTTAATGTGATAGTTCAGGCAGGCTTATATCGTCGCGCATTAGATTTTTATGCTCGTGTTATAAATAATAGTAACATTATGCCAAATCTTTGGAGTTCTTCTGAAAAGAAGTCAGCATAAAAAATCAATGCAGTTTCTTTTCTTTCAATTGTTAGGATCAGGCCACGCAATGTAGGAGAACACTTCTACGAGTGCTGCGAAAAGAAAGGAAAAAATAGAGCGCGCGCGCACACAGAGTAACAGAAAAGATAACAGAAAAGGTAACAGCCTGACCTTCCCTGAAGAACTCTTCCCAACTCCAAAAAGGTAACAGAAAAGATACAAGTGAATGCATTTTCAATAGGTTGTTTGGTTCTACTCCCTCTCTATTCGATTCGATGGTTTTGAAAAGCAGCAGGAGAGTTGGCAAAATCTATCCTTGCTACTCAACTCTATGGTTGAACCGCCTGGCATCCGTTGCAACAAATTGTCGATATATCCCCATGTCTGAAGCAGTTATCTCATCCAAAAACAAGATGCAAGGTGTCAACACATTACACCCAAGATTTCCAAGCCTTGCGCATCTTGTTTGCAACATATCTGACTCCATGAACAGCTCCAGCAGTCAATAAACCTGCAACAGCTTGCCTCGTGCTAGAAACCATAACCTTACGTCTAACTAGCCTCTTCATGCATTCAGCAGCCTCTTCTCTTGAACCAATCACTACTTGTTGCCTAACTCTACCTACAAGATAAATAGATGAAATCATCAGTTTTAGCTGAGGGGGGAACATTATAAAAGCTTATAATAAGAACTAAAATAATTACATAGAAGTGTCTTTTCTCTTGAAGTTTAAATTTTTAGATGGGACAAATAGAGAATTCAACATGGTATCAAGATAGACAAAGATCTTTCAAGTCTCAACATCACCCGTTTAAAAAAAAATATGTTCACGTACTTGACCCAAGAAAAGGATCCACACGTGAGAGTTACAAATATAAAGTAACTAAATAAAAGTGCTCCTTCACTAATGTGGCAGTAGAAGCAATTCAACAGGAACTAGTAACAAGAATAAATCTGAAAGAACAGCCAACGTTTTAAGCTTATTTCCTTTCCAGAAAATCCACTCTTTTCGCATTTGAAGTACGTACCAGAGTCATCGAGAATTCTCTTTTCTCCAAGTTTCATGCCCATCGCACTTCTGATTGATGGAGGAAGAGAAGAAACTAAGGTGGAAGCAGCAGATAATCCACAATCCTGATTTCGATACACTAAAACATGTCAATCTTTGAGATTGACTTGACCTTGATTTTCCAATTCACATATTGTCGAGGTGTAACCAAAATCAAGTCTCCTCAGATCCATCAGAAAGAAAAAATGTGCTAATGTAGTTAAAGAATCTCATGCAGATGTATTACCAAAAGCAATATGAAAAAGTCAAGAAAACACTCAAGGATCGAGAATGACACTATAACCAGAAAAGCGTACAAGTTACAACCGTGTAAAAGTACAAACTAATTTTCATGCAAGGAAACTAGTGACATCCAAATCTCTAATTAGCAAGTCGTGCAAGCAAATGACTTTGCAGCTATTTGAAAAACGTGTAGAATAGAAAGACTGACTTCTCTGATCACAAAAGTTACCATTCAAGGCCGGAAAATTAGTATTAAAAAATGGAAAGTAATGGACAACAATATCGAGATCCTGTCAGCATGACTCATGCTGTATATTCTTGATTAGCCATTGACAAAATACGGATATTTTATGCTTCAGTAGAAAAACGTGTTTTATTGCGGATATTGATAAGTGCACATATTAAGACACATATAAGATTACAAAAGATTTATCAGCATCATTTAGCAGAATTAACCATGAAAAAGGGAGCAACAAGAGATAAAGCTTTAGAAAGTGAGAGACCTGAAATATGTGTACTTGCTTATCACCAGCTGATGAAAATCGCAACAAGTTCTTAGATGCATATTCTTCCAGAGATGGCTTATACATTTTCTCAAATAAATGATATTGTCCTTGTACAATTTTGTTGACCTGGATCAATATGCAGTGAAGAAATTCATGTCCACAGAATGGAAGAATCAGTTCAATCACTTAATGGGGCATGAAAATAGCATATGCACTATGGTATATTATGCTAAAGTTTGATTGGAATTCTAGTCCAAAATAGGTATCCTGTCGATAAGATAACATACAAATTTTCAATATATAATAATTTATTTTTGTTGATCTGCTGGAAGTAATATCAACTATATAATTGAGAAACCCATTTACATCTAGCACTTACACGTAAAGTGATGCTTTTCATGTGGTACAGTTAGGGCCACAAAAATCTAAAACTTAGGCTTCACTGAAGTCTCAACTCTACCTTATTTTTGTCCTCTGCAAAAAGCATACGCAAGTCACCCATATATGAGAGACTACAGATTTTGGCATATAAATCTTCCTGCATAAACACCAAATTCCAAGTGGCATGTGTTATGTGCCTTTACTAATTGACAAGAAGTGAATAAAGAGACAAACCTCAGTGACTTTTGATGGCAAAAGGAGAAGAGCAGCAGAAGTTGCAGCTTTTAGGTTCACAGTGTTCACATTTTCTATATCCAAGTTATCCACAAGAATGTTCACCTGAATTAGAAGTAAATATAAGTTATGACTGAAAGACAGTCACCAGGCTCACCACTACAAGCAAAAAAGAAACCAACAAATAAATCCAGAATGTTATGGTTGAGTATGAAACTAAGGTAGGTTGATGGATATGTGTTGAATGCATCACAAAATATAATTCAGGACGCACATTAGTTCAGCCATGACTGCCCAACTAGAATGCATAGAAATGTCAGATAAAAGCTAAACAATAGGTACTAAGCCCCAAGCAACTATGATCAAGGAGGAAATCAAAACCACACGGGGTAGGGGATGTAAGTTCCGTTTTGCAATGAGTTGCAAACTATGATTCTATATAGAGCTTTGGCGGTCAAATGTCAAGTTTGTTCAAGTCTAAATTGAGCAGACATACACAGAAGAAAACAAAGCATCTCAATTGAATATTTTCAACAAAAATTCTTCTTTTTGACACTCATAAGAAATGTCTGAGTGAGTAGCCCATGTTGGGTGTATCTCTGAGAGTATAATAAGTTAACCACGCTCTGAACTTTTCACTTCTCCTGACTGAATGGGTTTGCATCTTCAGGTCAATACAAGAGAGAGATTAAAAGCTATCCATGTTGTGCCATCAAATATCAAAAGCACATGCCAATTTTTTTGTATGAAAACGCAGACTGAGATATAAATATAGAAACCAGTTATATCATGATATACTTTGAGCAAATACCTAGGAATCCACTAATTTAGCATTAATTCTTTTTTGGATGAAGTTCTACATAGGATTATAACACAAATATATTATGATAAATTTTATTCTTCTTGTCTCTAGGCAACTTCAAGGTGAGATCCTAAGAGAACATACAAGAACTCATGGATATGACCTTGATCAACTTAAGTTTATTTAACCATCACAAATAGGAATAAAAACATATTACCAAGTTTTCTAACTTTTGTTATACCAAGAGTAAGCTGACATTTCCTAAATGATGATTCCTTGCTACTTTAACTTACAAGTATTTATAGCGAATCAGGAAAGTCACGATCATCGATATAGACCTAACCTAGTACCATAATTTTTTTTCAAACTCAGTTACAAGAGTAAATAAAATTCGCCTGACTTGTCAATACTACGATAATGACTAAGAGGCACAAGAGGATTGCAAATTCTGACCAACTTAAGTTCATTCAACACGTTCTTTCATCAATGTAACTAATACTGAAATTGAAGTCCTTCATCAAATAGGTTATTTAAATAACACTAAAGAACAAGCCATACGGGTTTCTGCAGACGACCACTGAGATAGAACCTCTCCCATCCCAATATGTCTTGAATCAAGTCATGCATCCGAACAACTCCGTACTTGAACATCTGTAAAAATTACTCAATGTGAAATTTCTAATGTGTTAACAAGAAGTGCATCTTCATTAAATGGTCAATACCTTGTTGTTGCAAGACACAAATGGGTTGAAGTGTACGCCAACACCAATGTCATTCGCAATATCAGTTATCTGATTGAGTGCATATTGAATTGTTCTTTAGTACAAAAATTATGAAGTTGTGAAAGAATGATCGAAATTAAACTCAAGAAAGAATATAACACCATTCTTGTTCCACCAAGGTGAACGAGCCATGAAGCGTAGTGATCCTTGTTTAATTTTAGATTCTGCATAGTAGAAAGACGTTAGATTTTGACAACAAAGATGGCCGAGAATTGCTTAAAATTGAGGAATTTACCTCAGAATGCCATTGCTTAGGATCAGCTACTCCAATAATGTAATCTATCATAGATGTCTAGCAATGAAGTTGTTAGTAATGTACTATTGCAGCATGTTACAGAACTTCTTGATCAAACAAAACCATAAGTGGAGTAACGAAAGATGCAGTCATTATTAGGTTAACACTTTAAAGAAGATAATCACATCTTTGATATTAGAGAAAGAAGAAGTATAAAAAAAACCTCGTCTTTATTGTTGGGATGGAGTTTGGAACCATATATACAACAGAACTCAACAGGCGGTAGAATTTCAAGCAAACTCCCTAACTCAGCTTTATCCTCAGCCACCATTTCTGCATTAACATTTCGAAACAAAAATCATGTAATAAGCTACATGCAGATGTATGTATAATAGGAGAAATATCTTGAAATATTTTCAGTGGAATTTCATCAAGTACCTAACAGATTTTTGACTTTTACTATTTTCTACTTAGATCACTACAAGGGTACAACTTCGAATCCCTTAACAAGCTTTGCTATCAATTTGGTAAATCTTTGATTCTCTCTTTTTTTTATTTTCCTAGAATTTTTCAAGGGTTTAAGTAGGTGGGTAGTTTGGGTCTGCCATTGAAGAAGAAGAAACAACTCCAAGTCAAACATGAGTCAAAGCCCGTATTTGATATTTTTGGTTGGGCTCAGCCAAAGCACTCCTTATTCAATACTTGGGAGAAATTCAAAAATAGCCAGATTTATAAGTGGTTATTCAAAAATAGCCACAGTTTCAAAAGTAATCGAAATTTAGCCACTTCTCATGTAATGATAAATCTGAACGAAAACACTGTTCAAAATCCGGAAAATACTCCATCATAATATACTGGAACTCCAACATAATATACTGGAGTTCCAATATACTTATGCTGGAACTCAGTATGATCACTACAAAGGTACAAATTCGTATCCCTTAACAAGCTTTGCTATCAATTTGGTAAATCTTTGATTGTTTTTTTTTTTTTAATTTCCTGGGTTTTTTCAAGGGTTTAAGGAGGTGGGTAGTTTAGGTCTGCCATTGAAGAAGAAGAAACAGCTCCAAGTCAAACATGAGTTAAAGCCCATATCTGATAATTTTGGTTGGGCTCAGTCGAAGCACTCCTTATTCTATACTTGCGAGAAATTCAAAAATAGCCAAATTTATAAGTGGTCATTCAAAAATAGCCACAGTTTCAAAAATAATCGAAATTTAGCCACTCCTCATGTAAAGATAAATCTGTACGAAAACACTGTTCAATGTCCGGAAAATACTCCAGCATAATATACTGAAATTCCAATATAATATACAGTGCTTCGACTGAGCCCAACCAAAATTATCAGATATGGGCTTTGACTCATGTTTGACTTGGAGTTGTTGCTTCTTCTTCAATGGCAGACCCAACTAACCCACCTCCTTAAACCCGTGAAAAAACCCAGGAAATTAAAAAAAAAAAAAAAGAATCAAAGATTTACCAAATTGATAGCAAAGCTTGTTAAGGGATTCAAATTTGTACTTTTGTAGTGATTAGTAAGTAGAAAATAGTAAAAGACAAAAATCTGTTAGGTACTTTATTCCGTCATGCATGCCTCCCAGATGTTTGATGAAATTCCACTGAAATATTTCAAGATTTTGCCCCTATTATATATACACCTGCATGTAGCTTATTACATGGTTTTTGTTTTGAAAGGTCAATGCAGAAATGGTGACTGCGGATAAAGCTAAGTTAGGGAGTTTGCTTGAAATTCTACCCCCTGTTCAGTTCTGCTGCATATATGGTTCCAAACTCCATCCCAACAATAAAGATAGGTTTTTTTATACTTCTTCTTCCTCAGATATCGACGATGTGATTATCTTCTTTAAAGTGTTAACCTGATAATGACTGCCTCTTTAGACACTCCACTTATGGTTTTGTTTGATCAAGAAGTTCTGTAACATGCTGCAATAGTACATTACTAACTACTTCATTGCTACACATCTATGATAGATTACATTATAGGAGTAGATGATCCTAAGCAATGGCATTCTGAGGTAAATTGCTCAATTTTAAGCAATTCTCGACCATCTTTGTTGTCAAAATCTAACGTCTTTCTACTTTGCAGAATCTAAAATTAAACAATGATCACTACGCTTCATGGCTCGTTCACCTTGGTGGAGCAAGAATGGTGCTATATTCTTTCTTGAATTTACTTTAATTGCGCTCATTCTTTCACAACTTCATATTCGTATTTTTGTACTAAAGAACAATTCAATATGCACTCAATCAGATAACTGATATCGCAAATGACATTGGTGTTGGCATACACTTCAACCCATTTGTGTCTTGCAACAACAAGGTATTGACCATTTAATGAAGATGCACTTCTTGTTAACACATTAGAAATTTGACATTGAGTAATTTTTACAGATGTTCAAGTACAGAGTTGTTCGGATACATGACTTGATTCAAGACATATTGGTAGTAGTATAGGGAGAGGAAAAAGGACTTGGGCATGGTGTTCATTGACCTCGAGAAAGCTTATGATAAAGTCCCGAGGGAGGTCTATGGAGATCATTGGAGGTTAGCGGAGTCCCAGTAGCGTACATAAGGGTGATTAAGGATATGTACGAATGTGCTAAGACTCGGGTGAGGACAGCGAGAGGAGACTCGAAACACTTTCTTGTGGAGATGGGGTTGCATCAAGGATCAGCCCTTAGCCCATTTTTGTTTGTCCTAGCATTAGATGTGCTGATACGACACATACAAGGAGGGTTCTATGGTGTATGTTATTTGCGGATGACATAGTATTGACTGACGAGACGTGTGTGGGTGTTAACGCTAGGTTGGAAGTTTGGAGACAGACGCTGGAGTCCAAAGGTTTCAAGTTGAGTAGGTCAAAAACTGAATACTTGGAGAGCAAGTTCAGTGATGAGAGGCATGAAGAAGAAGTGGAAACAAAGATTGATACTCAAGTTATTCCCAAATAGGATAGTTTCAAGTATCTTGGATCTATAATCCAAGGCAACAGGGAGATTGACGAGGATGTTACTCGCCACATTGGAGCAGGATGGATGAGATGGAGGCTAGCCTCGGGGGTTTTATGTAATAAGAATGTGCCCCCTAGACTTAAGGGTAAATTTTACAGGGTGGTGGTTAGACTGGCTATGTTGTACGGAGCCGAGTGTTGGCTCGTCAAAAAGTCTCATGTCCAGAAGATGAGCGTAGCTGAAATGAGGATGCTGAGATGGATGTGTGGACATACTAGGAAAGACAAGATTCGGAATGAAGTTGTTAGGGACAAGGTGGGAGTGGCAGCCATGGAAGATAAGTTGCGGGAATCGAGGTTGCAATGGTTTGGGCATGTGAGGAGGAGAGACATGGATGCCCCGGCCAGGAGGTGTGAGAGGTGGACTATGGCGGGCTTGAGGAAGGACAGGGGTAGGCCAAAGAAGTATTGGGGAGAGGTGATTAGGCAAGACATGTCAGTGCTTCGCCTAACCGAGGACATGACTAGCGATAGGAAGATGTGAAGGTCGACAATTAAGGTGGTGGATTGACTGGTAGTTGTGAGTTTCTCCTATGGTTACCAGTAGTACTAATAATATTTTTTTTACCGGTTGAAAGATACTTCCTTCTTGTTTGTTGTTATATCTGGTACTTGGCAATCAAATCTACTATTTTTTTGAATTGCTACTAGAAATTGTTGCTTCATGCTTGTTACTATTTCATGCTACTTTTTTTCTCGACTTTTACTTTTTATTGACTTTCACTAGAATTATTGCTCCCTGATTGATACTATTTGATGCTACTATTTTCTCCCTTTGTCTTATCGTCCTTTATCTCCTTGTTGCTTCTTTCCTCCCCCTATTTCTTCTTCTTCTCCCTTCTCTTCCTCTCCACGCGTTCTTGAGCCGAGGGTCTATCGGAAACAGCCTCTCTACCTCTCCAGGTAGGGGTAAGGTCTACGTACACATTACCCTGCCCAGACTCCACATGTGGGATTATACTGGGTATGATGATGATGATGAATACAGAAGACCGGGTACAGAATTCTATTAACCGAGGAGAAGGTGTGAGGCACTCCCGAGTTCCGTGATTTTAAAATGGTCGCTCAACTATTAATAATTGGCCTAATTATCTGATTTAATACCTATTTGAACCTATTGTGCATTTCTTTACCTTTTAACCGCTTTTAATTAGATACTTACCCGCTTTTTAGTATTCATGAAATTATCTCTTGAACAAGTCGCGATGTCGCGCACTCGTCGTTTATGTACATGTTGCAAATCGCGCCACGTGAAACGCACCCGCGGTTTACAACATGTTTATTTTTTTATTATTATTTGAAGTGATGGTCGAGTCACGTGAAACGCACACTCGACTTGGGGATTACGTATCATGACTATGCCACAGAAACCGTACCATAATCACGATGATATCATTTTATTAATCGCGCCTGAAGCAACTAGCGCTTATAAATTTCTTTCTATTTGGAATTATATTGGCGAATCAGTTATTAAAGGACAAAGGACCAACTACTTGTTCAAGCCAAATTAATGACTCAATTGCTCTTTTCAATTGTCGATTAAAACTCCACATTCCATTAATAGTAGCTATCCATACTTTATTGAGCAGGACCAACCAGAAGAATAAATCAACAAAAAAAACCTAACGTAAACAAAGAAATACAACACTATTAGATAATCCAATCCCTTTAGTTTTTGTGCTCACACCTGCGCAACCAATTTAAATCTAAAACCATTTGCTCAATTCTAATATACTGTCCATAGCTAAGACAAAAGTTTACCCCAAAATCCATATGGCTTAATATTCATCAATGTTGAAATAAGGAAACAAATCAGATTAAATGATCCAAAAATCAATGAAAACACACCGGAACGTCATGCCGGTCTAATCATTTGTGCAAGCAACGAGACACATGGATAAGGGTAAATAACAGGGAAGAGATGAAAGAACGGACCTTTTACTGCTGAAATTTTTAGAGCGGATACAATGAAAATAGAAACTCTAGAACAGCAATTCTCAAGCAAGCTACAGACTAGAAACCCGGACCGAAATCAGCATCCCCGAACGGACTCATCTCTACTGGGTTTGGATGGTGCTTTCAAGCTGTTTTTCGCACTGGTTTGGGGTTGATTTCGGGTCTGTTTTTAGTGAGTTTTTGGGCAGCTTTCAACTGGTTTTTGAGGAAGGTTCTGCTGCTCTTTTGGGTTGGGCAGAGCTGGATTTTTGGAGTGGCTATTTGATCGGTTTTCTACGGCAGAAATGGGGTGTGGGGTGCTGTTTCGAGCTGCAATTCGGAGGCTGTTCTTGCTGGATTTTTGAGCTGAGATGGTGAGCAAGGGGCTGTAGGGTAAGGCAAGTGAAGCCGTTGCCTTAGGCACCAAATAATTAAGGCCCCAAAAATTTATATTATTATTATTATTAATATATACTCCATAATTTATACTTATATTATTATTTAATACAAAATTTTAATTTTTAATAATTTTTAACATTTGGTATACGTAAGATTGAGTGAGTTAATTGGATATATTTTTTTACTAAATTAAATAATATATTTACCTGCTCATCAATTTTATTTTTCTTTCTTTATGTATAGTCTTTTTTCATGGTTCTTACGATTTTACTTTCTAATTTTAATTCCAATTCTCTAAATTAATTATTTCTTTTTGTCACATTTGATTGATCTACACACCAAAAAAACAAGTTCTTTTGTGTCTCGTCTTTTTTAACTAAGAAATCCCCGAGGCAAATGTCGCAAGGTTCAAAACATGATGAATAATGGGCTCACCCTTTACCACTTTCACTTAAGGGAAGAATTCAATACCATATGACGCACGCCTAACTCATACATCATGAGTTGCGCTCTCACGACTATATCAAAGTCATGTAGGTTTTTTTTATGTCTCGATATTATATGGATTTTATAAAAGACGTTTCAGGGTCTTTTTAATATATTTTGGTTTAGGCCGCCAGTTTTGTTGAGTCGCCCCTCATTGACAATCAACAATTATTTATAGACTACTGCCCAACTATAAACAACCAGCTTCATTCACATTTGGTAAGTGAATGACACTCTCACTGCTTTTAATGCTCTTGTCATTGTTGCCTTATTTTAAGTGAGACTCTATAAATTTTATTGTGAATGTCCGGGCGGATAAGTGGCTCTAGTAGGAGACTAGTAAAGCCTTGATTTAGGTCCCCAAAATTTTTAATAATGGATTTTATAATTTTATTTAAAATTAGACAATAATAATGTTTTTAGAAAAAATAAAACAGTACAAAAAAATTGTAAAAAAAAAGAAGGTATCTACTCTTAAACCGTAAAAATATTTCTAAAACTTTAAATTAAACTACTTAAATCTTTAGTAAATAGAATTACTGCAAGTTGGACGTCACCATTGAATTTAGCGTACCATTCTAGAACATGGAGTTTTATTTTTGTTGAGGAATTTCTTTTAAAAACTAAATTTTGGATTGTTTTAGTGGCTATGAATTTGGTGCTTTCATTTTACTTGGAGATTAAATAAGACGACAGAAAAGAAAGAAAACTTTGATCGTTCTACTTTAAATTTTGTCCTGGATAGTAAATCAGGTCTTAGTAAAATTTGTAATGAAATCTAAGTATGAAGAGTGCTGAACTTGACAAGCCTGTTTGATCGAAAAAACATTTTTGTTTTTTTTTTGGGATAAAAAACATTTTTTTTTAGGTCGTAGGTTAGGAGGGAGTCTAGCGTTTTTCTATATTGTTCCGGGGACTGGGCTGGGCTAATAATGCTTTGCTGTGGGTTGTTAGTGGTTTATGTAGATTCCACACTATTTTATATGTGTTATAAAACAATAAAAGAAGAAGAAGAATATTGCAGAAAAAAGTAGGGAGAGAGAATTCTTATTGATTTTTGGGATGAATTACAATAGAATAGAACCCTCTATTTATAGGGAGATGGTGACTTAGCCACCAAGTAATAAACCCTAGAATCTCTCTAAATATAGACATTCACCATAAATAAAATTCTATTTATAACACTCCCCCTTGAATGTCTATTCAACAGATAATGTGCCTCGTTAAAACATTAACTAAAATAAAACCCAATAGGAAAAAAAATTCTAGAGAAGGAAAAAGAGTACACATATCTAATAATACGCCTTTTGGTTGCCTCGTTAAAAACCTTGTAAGGAAAATCCAGTGGGACAAAACCTTGTAAGGGAAAAAGAGTACAACGCGTATTAACTCCCCCTCATGAGAGCATCACTTCACATCCTTAAGCATTTGCATTCCAATCTTGTGCACCATCTTCAAAAGATCTTTGGTAGATATTTGATAAACAAATCAGCCATATTAACTTGAATGAATATATTGCACCTTGAAATCATCATTCTTGATAGAGATGTAATGTCTTCATATAATATCGTGGAATGACTTTTCAATATCTCCATAGAGGTATTCTCGCTATCACATTATTATGCTTATAGTTATAGCAAGATACATATGTGCACAAATTGCATTTAGGATATGGTACTTCAGGACCAAGAATTGTATATGCTTTAAGCGATTTAAATCCTTCAAGGATTGCCATATAAGTTAAGTCATATAAGTCATATAATAGACTTTAGATGCATATCAAGTTTTTATGTCATGCTAGACAAATAAGTTACCGAAAACTGATTCCACATACCATTGACTTTATACTTTCAAGTGTTTGAACTACATGTTCAAAACTACATGCCTTTCATATGAAACCATTCAATTCGAAATTGTTTCTCTAGACTTAAGATCCCCATATATATTTAGCGCAATTACAGATGTCGTCGACAAATAATTTATATCGGTTCCAACCTTTTTATTTTTCATAAAGGCATAACATAGAGATCCCTTCATTCATATATTCATGTACCTGAATCTCTCATGTGATTTTATGAAGTGTTATGTCATGTGATCTTCTAGATCACTTGTGTAACGACCCGACCGGTCGTTTTGAGCTTTTGCACTTTGTTCGCCAATTCTCGGGCATGACTTGCCCCGTGTGGTGTATTATGACTTATGTAAATCGTTGGTTTTGGTTTCAGGTTAATCAGAATGAATTTGGAAGAACAATTCTCAGTTTCAAAGCTTAAAAATTTGAAAGGTTTGACCAAGATTTGACTTGTTTGTATTTGATCTCGGATTAGAATTTTTATGGTTTGGTTAGCTCCGTTAGGTGATTTGGGATTTAGGAGCGTGATCGGAATGCATTTTAGAGGTCCGTGGAAGGTTTGGACTTGAATTGGCGAAATTGAAATTTCGGCATTTTCCGGTTGGTAAGGGAGATTTTGATATAGAGGTCGGAATGAAATTCTGGAAGTTGAAGTAGTTCCATATTATCATTTATGACGTGTGTGCAAAATTTCAGGACATTCGGACGTGGTTTGGTCGGGTTTTTGATCAAAAGCGTAATCTAGAAGATTTTGGGATTCTTAGGCTTGAATCCGATGCAAATTTGATATTCTGATGTTTTTTCTAGTATTCCGAAGGTTGGATCAAGTTTGAATAAGGTATTAGGATATGTTCGCGCCTTTGGTTAAGGTCCCGGGGGCCTCGGGTGAGTTTCAAGGGGTAGAGCGGATCATTTCGAAGTTGAGAAAGTTGCAGATTTTGAGTTCACGCAGTTGCAGGTATTTTGGTCTTCGCGTTCGCACGTGGACCCTTGCGTTCATGAAGAGTCAGGAAGGGAGGCGTCAGGTTTGGCCTTCGCGTTCGCGAAGGGGAGTCCCGCGTTCGTGAAGGGCCGTGTTAGCATGCATCGCGTTCGCGAGAGGCATTGTCGCGTTCGCGTAAGTTTGAGAGGCTGAAGCATCGCGTTCGCGATGGTAGGGTCGTGTTCGCAAAGGAGAGTTTTGGTCAGCAGAATTTTTGTGCTTCGTGAACGCGAGGCTTTGACCGCGTTCGCGAAGAAGGAATTTATGCTTGGGGCAGAATGTTTAAAAGATGGGTTTCGCGATTTTTGGTCTATTTTCTCCATTGTTGAGCAATTTTTTGAAGCTTTGGAGAAGGATTTGAAGAGGGAATCGAAGGGAATCACTTGGAGGTAAGATTTTTTAACTCAATACTCGATTCTTGTGTGAATTCCACCTATTAATAATGGAATTAAGCCTAAAATTGAAGAGCTAGGGCTTGGAAATTTGAAACCAAACATTTGGGATTTGAAGGGTCATTTGTTTATGGATTTTGATGTTCTTGGTATGTATGAACTCGTGGGGAGATAAGGAATCCGTTGATGTGAAAATTATTGAATTCCAAGACATGGGCCCGGGGGCCGGGTTTGAGCAATTTCGGGATTATTGATGTAAATTTGATATTTTCGAATGGGCTTTGTTCCCTTAGCATATTTTTAATGATTATGTACTGATTGTGACTAGATTTGGAGCATCCGGAGGTCGATTCGTGCGGGCGAGGCATCGCGGGCTAGAGTTTGGACAGGATCGAGGTAAGTAATGATTGTAATACTGTCCTGAGGGTTTGAAACCCCGGATTACACATCATTGTGTTATTTTAGAGGTGACGCACACGCTAGATGACGAGCGTTCTAGAGATTTATATTATATCTTTGGTTGTATGCCATGTTTGGGGCCCTGTGCCGACCTGCTGAGACCCTTAGGGGCACTTTCACTACTTTTCCTCACACTAGTTGTTTTGAACGCATATCCTCAGTCATGTTTTACCTGCTTATTGTTTAAATCTGGTTTTATTACTTTGTTTCGTAAAAATGTGAAAACTGTTTGGGGCTGAGTTCCCTGTTTTACTGATGGTCCGAGTGATCGTGAGGTTGGCGACTGAGATAGACCGAGGGTCTGATTGTGAGGTTGAGGACTGAGATAGACCGAGAGTCTGATTGCGAGGTTAATGACTGAGGGTAATGAGGATTTTATATCTATGGATCGGGCTGCACGCCGCAGTAATATATTTATATATATATGTATATGGATCGGGCTGCACGCTTCAGCGATATGTTGGATCGGGCTGCACGCCGCAGCGATATAGCGCTTGGGCTGTAGGAGCCCCTCCGGAGTCTGCACACCCCCAGTGAGCGCAGTCGACTATATATATGGATTGGGCTGCACGCCGCAACGATATATGGATCGGGCTGCACGCCGCAGTGATTACTATATGGTATCTATTGAGCGTGAGTGCTGAGTGTGAGCGCTGATTGGTAGGAGTTGAGTCACGAGTGACTGAGAGGCTAGCCCAAGGGGTGATATATATATATATATATATATATATATATATATATATATATATATATATATATATATATGCACATGAGTGATGTTCGCCTAAGGGGCCTGATTATGAACTTATCGATTTTCACTTCTTTTTAGAGTGAGTTTCTATCGAATATGTTGATTTAATGACT